GACCAGAAAGGACCAGAGAACACCACCAAAAATTCCAACTCTACAAGCATCATAATGGCAATAAATTCATATCTTTTAAGAATCATTCTAAACATCAATGGACTCAATGCTCCAATCAAAAGACATAGGGGACCAGAATGGATAAGAAAATAAGATCCATCTATATGCTGTTTACAAGAGACCCACTTTAGACCTAAAGACACCTTCAGGTTGAAAACAAGGGGATGGAGAACCATGTATCATGCTAATGGTCAACAAAAGAAAGCCAGAGTAGCCATACTTCTATCAGACAATCTAGACTTTAAAATAAAGACTGTATCAAGAGATGCAGAAGGGCATTATATCATAATCAAGGGGTCTATCCACCAAGAACCCCTATCAATTGTAAACATTTGTGTGCCAAATGTGGCAGCACCACAATATATAAATCAATTAATCACAAACATCTTTATGTTTCTTTAAACTTTCTTTAAACTCATCAATAGTGATACCATAATAGTAGGAGACTTCAACAGCCCACTCACAGCAATAGATCATCTAATCAAAAAATCAATAAGGAAACAATGGCTTTGAAGGACACACTGCACCAGATGGACTTAACAGATATATTCAGAACATTTCATCCTAAAGCAGCAGAATATACATTCTTCTCCAGCGCACATGGAACATTCTCCAGAATACACCATATACTGGGACACAACTCAGCCCTATGTATGTACAAAAAGATCAAGATCATACCGTGCATATTTTCAGACCACAACACTATGAAACTGGAAATCAACCACAAGAAAAAATTTGGAAAGGTAACAAATACTTGGAGACTGAAGAATATCCTACTGAAGAATGAATAGGCTAACCAAGCAGTTAAAGAGGAAATTAAAAAGTATATGGAAGTCAATGAGAATGATAACATCACAACCCAAAACCTCTGGGATGCAGCAAAGGTGGTCCTAAGAGGAAAGTATATAGCAATCCAGGCCTTCCTAAAGAAGGAAGGAGGATCTCAGATACACAACATAACCTTACACCTTAAGAAGCTGGAAAAAGAACAGTAAATAAAACCCCAAACCAGAAGAAGACAGGAAATAATAAAGATTAGAGCAGAAATTAATGCTATTTAAACAAACAAACAAAAAAAACAAACAAACAAACAAACAAAAAAAAAACAACCAAAGAAGCAAACAGTAGAACAGATCAATGAAACCAGAAAGTGGTTCTTTGAAAGAATTAACAAAAGAGATAAACCACTAGCCAGACTGATCAAGAAGAAAAAGGAAAGGACCCAAATAAATACAATCAAGAATGAAAGAGGAGAGATCACAGTCAACACAACAGAAATAAAAACAATAATAAGAGAATATTATGAGAAATTATATGCCATTAAAATGAGTAATCTGGAAGAACTGGACAAATTCCTAGAAACATATACACTACCAAACCTGAAACAGGAAGAAATAGAAAATTTGAACAGACCCATAACCCGTAAGGAAATTGAATTAGTAATCAAAAATCTGCCCAAAAAATGAGTCCTGGGCCAGATGGCTTTCCAGGGGAAATCTACCAAACATTTAAGGAAGAGTTAACAGCTATTCTCTTGAAACTGTTCCAAAAAACAGAAATGGAAGGGAAACTTCCAAACTCTTTCTATGAACCCAGAATTACATTGATTCCAAAACCAGACAGAGAACCCACTAAAAAAGAGAACTATAGACCAATTTCCCTGATAAACATGGATGCAAAAAAAATCCTCAACAAGATATTAGCCAATCGACTCCAACAATACATTAAAAAAATTATTCACCACGACCAAGTGGGATTCATACCTAGGATGCAGGGCTGGTTCAATATCTGCAAGACAATTAAAGTGATTCATCACATCAAGAAAAGAAAGGACAAGAAGCATATGATCCTCTCAATAGAAGCAGAGAAAGCATTTGACAAAATACAGCATCCTTTCATGATAAAAACCCACAAGAAAGTAGGGATAGAAGGAGCATACCTTGAGATCATAAAAGCCATATATGAATGATCCAACGCTAATATCATTCTCAATAGGGAAAAACTGAGAGCTTTACCCCTAAGGTCAGGAACAAGACAGGGATGTCCACTCTCACCACTGTTATTCAATGTAGTATTGGAAGTCTTAGCCTCTGCAATCAGACAACACAAAGAAATAAAAGGCATCCAAATCGGCCAGGAGGAGGTCAAACTTTCACTCTTCGCAGATGACATGATACTCTATATGGAAAACCCAAAAGATTCCACCAAAAAACTGCTAGAACTGATTCATGAATTCAGCAAAGTTGCAGGATATAAAATCAACGCACAGGGGCGCCTGGGTGGCTTGGTCGGTTATGCGTCCGACTTCAGCCCAGGTCATGATCTCACGGTCCGTGAGTTCAAGCCCCACGTCAGCCTCTGTGCTGACAGCTCAGAGCCTGGAGCCTGTTTCAGATTCTGTGTCTCCTTCTCTCTCTGCCCCTCCCCTGTTCATGCTCTGTCTCTCTCTGTCTCAAAAAATAAATAAATGTTAAAAAAAATAAAAAAAATCAACGCACAGAAATAGGTTGCATTCCTATACATCAACAATGAAGTGGCAGAAAGAGAAATCAAGGAATCGATTCCATTTACAGTCACACAAAAAGCCATAAAATACCTAGGAATAAATCTAACCAAAGAGGTGAAAACTCTATACACTGAAAACTATAGAAAGCTTATGAAAGAAATTGAAGAAAACACACACAAAAAAAGGAAAAAGATTGCAGTTCCTGGATAGGAAGAACAAATATTGTTAAAATGTCGATACTACCCAAAGCAATCTACATATTCAATGCAATCCCTATCAAAGTAACACCAGCATTCTTCACAGAGCTAGAATAAATAATACTAAAATTTGTATGGAACCAGAAAAGACCCTGAATAGCCAAAGTGATCTTGAAAAAGAAAACCAAACAGGAGGCATCACTAACCCAGACTTCAAGCTATACTACAAAGCTGTAATCATCAAGACATTATGGTACTGGCACAAGAACAGACACTCAGATCAATGGAACAAAATAGAGACCCCAGAAATGGACCCACAAATGGATGGGCAACTAATCTTTGACAAAGCAGGAAAGAATATCCAATGGAATAAAGACAGTCTCTTCAGCAAGTGGTTCTGGGAAAACTGGACAGCGCCATGCAGAAGAATGAACCTGGACCACTTTCTTACACCATACATAAAAGTCAACTCAAAATGGATGAAAGACCTCAATGTAAGGCAGGAAGCCATCAAAATCCTCGAGGAGAAAGCAGGCAAAAACCTCTTTGATCTTGGCCGCAGCAACTTCTTACTCAACACGTCTCTGGAGACAGGGGAAACAAAAACAAAAATGAACTACTGAGACCTCATCAAAATAAAAAGCTTCTGCACAGCAAAGGAAACAATCAGCAAAACTAAAAGGCAACCGACGGATTTGGAGAAGATATTTGCAAACGACATATCAGATAAAGTGTTAGTATCCAAAATCTATAAATAACTGATCAAACCCAACACCCAAAAAACAAATAATCCAGGGAAGAAATGGGCAAAAGACATGAATAGACACTTCTCCAAAGAAGACATCCAGATGGCCAACCAACACATGAAAAAATGCTCAACTCACTCATCATCAGGGATATACAAATCAAAACCACCATGAGATACCACCTGTAACCTGTCAGAATGGCTCACATTAACAACTCAGGCAACAATAGATCTTGGCGAGGATGTGGGGAAAGAGGATCTCTTTTGTATTGTTGGTGGCAATGCAAGTTGGTGCAGCCACTCTGGAAAACAGTATGGAGGTTCCTCACAAAACTAAAAATAGAACTACCCTACGACCCAGCAATTGCACTACTAGGCATTTATCCACAGGATACAGGTGTGCTGTTTCGAAGGGACACATGCACCCCCGTGTTTATAGCAGCACTATCAACACTAGCCAAAGTATGGAAAGAGCCCAAATGTCCATCGATGGATGAATGGATAAAGAAGATGTGGTATATATATATACAATGGAGTATTACTCGGCAATCAAAAAGAATGACATCTTGCCATTTGCAACGACCTGGATGGAACTGGAAGGTATTATACTAAGTGAAATTAGTCAGTCATAGAAAGACAAATAGCATATGACTTCACTCACATGAGGACTTTAAGATACAAACTAGATGAACACAAGGCAAGGGAAACAAAAATAATATAAAAACAGGGAGGGGGACAAAATAGAACAGACGCATAAATATGGAGAACAAATTGAGGGTTACTGCAGGGGTTGTGGGAGGGGGAGTGGGCTAAATGGGTAACAGGCACTAAGGAATCTACTCTGGAAATCATTGCTGCACTATATGCTAACTAATTTGGATGTAAATTTTGAAAAATAAAAAAATAATAAAATAAATAAATAAACTAAAATAACCTGACCCCAAACTCACTCACTTACAGATACCACTGATGCATGCATGTTTCATGTTGATGTTGTATGAAACAATTCTAACAAATCAGGAGCTGGGGGTTTGGGAGTGATGGTGACAAAAGAGGAATCCATAGGGTGGGGATTGGGGATTATCAGGAGCAGGTGGCAGCAGTGCCTCCTTCACCCCCATGCCTGCTGTCATCTCCTGAAGAGGGACTGTCACCTTCCAAAACAATGGGTGAGTTCCCTCACATGGCTGCAACTGCAGAGAACAGATGCACAGTTACAATAAAGCATGGAAAGGCTACGTGAGATTAGCAGCAACACAGACACCTATACATGCAGGTATGTGTGTAGGGTGTGGGGTCAGAGGAGAGACTGGGCTGCAGAAAGAGAAATAATTGGATGAGGGAGGAAAAGGACACCACATAGAAATAAACAAAACATCCCAACATGGCATCAAGACATAAGCTGCTCAGGCACCCATTAGGCATCAGACACCCGTTGCCTGCACTACATGGTTCAAAACAAAGACACGAAAGAACAAGGAGCCTCTCAAGATTTGGAGGAGCCAGTTTCATGAGATCAATACTCACTGGAGGAGGAAATGGCCATCTCATCAGGCAGCTCACTCCTACTGACCTCAATGTGACCCTGCACCTCACTGAGAACCTTGGCATCTTTTCAACTGACACAAACATGATGGCCAAACCTGTGTGACCAAACTGGCCTGCTCAGGTCTCATGGAAGGAGATAGATAGTAGCACTGGGAAAACCCCAAAGTAGGAAGACACCGAAAAGAAGGGAGGAGCATGTAAGTTATGAAGACATAGGAAATCAGGGGGTGGGAGGGGACACTGGGATGTCCATGTGGGTGTGCAGTTTACCAGATGCAGGTAGGTGTGGGAATCCCCAGGCAGGTGGTAGTTGATGGCAGTGTTCACCCACTCAATGTCCATGGTGGCCACAAGAAGTTGTCATCGAAGATCTTTAACTACTGATACCAGGAAAGCCTTTGGCAGAAAGAACATTAGAAAATTGTTCACAGTCCTTTCTCTCAGTGGTCTCATTTTCTCCCCAAACACAAGACATCTTTCCATCTCTGACTCACATCTCCACCCAGGGCATCCCACAATGAATGGCAATAGCTGGCAAGTTCTGCTCCACCAGGGGCTGGGCCAGGGCAATGCAATGCTGCACAAACTTCACAAAGATCTCGGCCCATGTGTAGAGTGTAGGCAGATGTGGGCCCACTGGTATGTGTGTGGAGAGGAGAGAGACAATGTGCCAGAGTGGGAGATTTCAGGAAGTACACCCTTTAAATGAATCCCACTAATTCCCTCTTATTCCCCCCTACATGATTCCTTCTTTTTCGCTCTCAGTATAACTTACTTTTCACTTCTCTCCTCTGGTTCTGATTTTCCTGAGCAGATTGGCCTCTGAGAAGATACACAGAACATTAACCAAATTTGGCAGACATGTTAGGATACAGGAATGTGGTTACTCTATGAAAAAGTACTAAATCCTGGAACTAGGGTCTGGAACAAACAATATTCCTGCTTATGAAACATTAAACCTAAGACCTACCCTAATTTTGGGAGTAGTTTTCGTGTGAAAACGTTACACAATTGGTAAGCTGAGAGAATGCCTCTCCTCAGGGAATGATACAAGAAGAAATAAACACATTTAAGAACCCTAACTGGGCCAATGAAGATTGGGATTTTTAAGAATTTAAAAGCCTTCCAGGTTTTATATATGATGTTTGCTTTACTTATGGGGATTTTAATTTATTGAATATCTGACCATCCTAGCATGGAACACCATAGCAGTCCCCAACTCTCTCGTGCTCAGCCCCTTGGTATCCATCAGAAACATCACCAATTTGTCCAAAAAACACCTATATACTCAATCCTCATTATTCACAGATTATGTATTTACAAATTTATCTATTTGCTAAAATTTCTTTTAACCCCAAAATCAATACTTATGGCACTTTACCATCATTCAGTGACACGCCCAGAGCAGCAAAATATTTAGTCACCTAACATGCATGTTCCCAGCTGAAGTCAAAATTTTTTGTGTAACTTGAAAAAGTCCTTCTCAGACATAAAAGTTGCAAAGACACCCTCGATGTCAGAACACAAAAATTATGGCCTTACTTTGTCTAAAGAAACACATACTAATTAGCTGGAACAATCAGCACAAAATTGTTATGTGATGAAAAAAGAGACGAGTGTACAATAAGAAGTTTAGAAATAACCCCAAGTGGATACTTGATTGTTGATAGATGTAGGACTTTAGGAAAGAGGAAAAAGATGGAGTTTTCAATGAAAAGTCAGTCAACTGTTAGCTATTCATGAAGGAAAAAACAGATTTAACCTTTCCTTCACACCATACACATGCAGAAAGAAATCGATTAAAATCCATAAAATTTCAGAAAGGATTACAGAAAAGTACCTTTATGAGTATAATTAAGGAAAAATTTGTTAGACAGAACTGAGAAGACATTTCTAATAGAGAAAATTCCTATATGTTATTAGGTAAAAGTAATAACTACTGTTCATCGAAAGTCATGATTACAAAAGTGAAAATAGAAGCCATATATTAGGAGAAATTGTTTGCCACACATGTTAGCAACCAAGCGCTAGACCACAAAATACGTAAACACTGCTCAGATCAGTGAGCTTAAGACAGACTACTTAGTGAATAAATGGCCTAATACGTCCCATTTACCAAAGTCAAGTGGAAGCCAGAAGGCAAGGGAGCATGGGAGATACAGGAGTCCATTCCATAAGTGGTCGATAGAGGATGGTCTCCCAGGACACAGAGCAGGTGAGCATGGGTAAGTGATGAATGCGAATGTTACAAAGAAGAAATCTAAATAATAAACATGGATATGTAAATGTGCTTTCTCTCCTTCCCTGATGGAAATGCAAATTATCACCATAATGGCAGACAGCATGAACGCACCTGACAACATGCTGTGTGGAAGAACCCAGTCTCAAAGGACTGCGTGGGGCTCGATTCCAATTTCAAGAAATGTCCATAATACACAAATCTACAGAGACCGAAAGTACATTAGCACTTGCCCAGAGCTGGGGGAAAGGCGATGGGAGAAAGGGGAAGCGACTGCTAATGAGTACAAGGTTACTCCTGCTGTGATGAAAATGTTCTAAAAGCGATTGTACCGATAGTTGCACAACTTTGTGAATATAATAAAAACGATTGAATTGTATACATAAATCAGTGATTGGTGTGTGAATAACATCTCCATAAAGTTGTATTAAAAACTCCTAATGAGATATATGCTAAATCCACTAGAATCTCCAAGTCACACTGACTGAAGAAGTGGTTCAGGGCAGATGGAGTAGGAGGCATCAGTAATCCACATCCCCACCTGGCTAACAGGTGCACTGATGCAATCTGACAGAACTGTTGTGGAAAGCTGGAGTGTATTGAAGGCTTGGAACTTCCAGAGGAACGTCTTGGATGGTAAATGGCAGTTAAGTTCAGTCTACTTCAGACTGGCACCGTAGATGAGGCTACCACCTCCTGACTCTCAGGCCCCTTACAGACACCCAGAGTGATTCCTACAGTAGTTTGAACACAGCACGTGGAAGCTAAGGTGAGTGATTATGACAATGCCCGCCAAACATCAGGAATAAATGTTCTGATCACTGCTTGCTGCTTTTGGTCAAGGGGATGTAGGAGACACGTAGGCAACCATGTTTGCAATTCCCACCACCAATATGGCAAGCCCTTTCTCCACTGGTTAAAGCAACCTGAAGGGTATTTAAAGGCTTTCCCCTGCTTCATTTTCCATTTTTTTCCATTTTGCAAAGGAAGTATATAAGGACTGGATCACCAGAAAGCAGCTGCAAATACAGAGACATTTACAAAGTTACATATGCCCAGGGAAGGGTGCAGGCTCATAAATGATCTGAGAGGTTCTTAAGGTTACACCGTAGGTAGACACCTGGCATGCAGACACTCTACACAACTGAACGACCAAAACACAAAAGCAAAACACAGCAACCAAAAAAGCTTTGCAAACTCTGGGGAAGGGGAGAATCAATTTCCAGAGTTATCACATAAGATCAAATGTGTAGTTAAAAAAACCCCAAATCACAAAGCATACAAAGAAACAGGAAAGTATGACCCATTGAAAGGAAAAAACTCTATCAGTAGAACTGTCTCTGAGAAATAACTGATGCAAACCTACTAGACAAAGACCTTAAGGCAACAGTCGTACAGACCCTCAAGCTGCAGGCAGGAGTGGAGACCAGGGGCTCCTAATGCTTGTCTTTCAGGAAAAAAACAAAACCAAAAAAATCAAAAGTTAAAAATATGACATAAATAAATAAATAAAAAGTAGCGTTCACCCCTTGCTTCTGTAAAATCACCAACACAAACAAATAAACAACCACAAATTGTAACATGGCCTTGGGAAAGCCCTAGGCAATCACGAGGACACAGCACAACCCTGTGGAGCACAAGAACCATAGGTTGCTGCACAGAAAAGCAGGGAAAACACTTCACCTGTGTCACCCCCTACTTCACTCTGGACCAACTCAGCACCAAGGAAGAAGCCATCAGAAGGATTTCACCTGCAGGGAAGGAGAACAGGAGGACTCCAGCCATCCTGGTCACCTGTGCACAAGCATAGGTCAAAGACTAAATCAAAAAGGAAATTTAAAAAATCTTGAGAAAAACAAAAATGGAAACAGAACATATAAATCTCACAAGATGCAGGAAATCAGTCCTTAAGAACAACGTTTGTAGCCATAAGTACCTATGTCACAAATAAACAACCTAACATTACACCTCAAGGAACTAGAAAATAAGAACAAACTAAGTCCAAACTTTAGAAGGATGAAAATAACAAATATCTGAATGGAAATAAATGAAATACCAAGTAAATACACATCATAAAATGATAAATGAAATGAAGAGTTGGTTTTTGTTAAGCTAAAAAAAGCTCACAAACCGTTAGCTACACTAAGAAAAAATGGAGGTGACTCAAATAAAGAAAATTATAAACAAAAGTGTAGAACTGTGGGGTGCCTTTCTGGCTCAGTTGGTTGAGTGTCTGACTCTTGATTTTGGTTCAGGTCATGATCTCACGGTTCAGTTTGTGGGACTGAGCCCCATGCTGTCCTCTGTGCTCACAGCACTGAGCCTTCTTGGGGTTCGGTCTCTCCCCCTCCCTATTTCCCTCCCCCCTTTCTCAAATTAAATAAATTTATGTTAAAAAAAACCTACAGAACTGATTCCACAAATTTTCAAAGGTCATAAGATTTACTATGACAATAAATGGCAACAAATTAGATCACCGAGAGATATTGGATACATTCCTGAAAACATACAAGTCCCCATGGGACTTGTACTGAATCATGTACTTGCACTGAATCATGAACAAAAACAGAGAATCTGGACAGACCAATTAGTAGTAGCAGATTGAGTGAAGAATAAAAAGTCCCCCAACACAGTAAAGCACCCAGGTGGCTTTACTGGTGAATTCTATCACACATTAAGATGAATTAATACCAATCTTTCTCAAACTCTTTAAAAATATTAAAGAGGAAGAAATACTTCCAGACTCATTTAATGAAGCCAATAGTACTCTGGTAGCAAAACCAGACAAGGACACTACAAGAAAAGAAAATTACAGCCAATATCACCTATGAATAAAGATGCCAAAGTTCTCAACAAAATGCTCGCAAAATGAATTCAACAGCTTTTAAATTTATTTTAATGTTTATTAATTTTTAAGAAAGCATGACATAGAGACAGAGCATGAGCAGGGGAGAGGCATGGAGAGAGGGACACACAGAATCTGAAGCAGGCTCCAGGCTCTGAGCTGTCAGCACAGAGCCCGATGCGGGGCTCAAACCCACCAACCATGAGATCATGACCTAAGCCGAAGCCAGACGCTTAAATGACTGAGCCGCCCTGGTGCCCCCAAATGCTTTTTAAAAGGAATATAAACCATGATCAAGTGGGGCTTATGTCTGGGGTCCAGTGGTGGTTCAATACACACAAATCAATAAACGCACAACACATGAACAGAGAGGGTTACAAATCACAGGATCATCTCAATAAACGCAAAGACAACATTTGACAAAGTTGAATATCATTTCATGATAAAAAGTCTCAAGGAGTTGGATATAGAAGGAATGGACCTCAACACAATAAAGGCCTTAACGCCAGCCCACAGCTAACATCATCCTCAATGGTGAAAAGCAAAGGCCTTTGCTCCAAGATCAGGAACAAGACAGGGATGCTCACTCTCACAGCTTCTATTCATCATTGTACTGGAAGTCCTAGCCAGAGCACAAAGGTGAGGAAAAGAAATAAAAGGAATCCAAATTGGAAACGAAGAACTGAAAATGTCTCTGTTTGCAGATGACATGATTTTTTCCTTTCAAGATTTACTCTCTTAG